GGAATGTATACAACATAAAAAACATTGATTTTTGGGTTAAAAATAGGCCTAGAAGTGCTGTTTTTCAGCTAATCATATCAATAACAAAAAATGACATTTGACAATACCACAAATGTCTATTTTTTTAACAAAAAAAGCTACGTTTCTGCACTGCGTAAATTATTAAAATTTTCAAGTTTAAAAAAAATGACATTTGGCAACAATAAACGGATTAGAAACCTCAAATGTAACATTGCGAGAATATTCGCCTAAGCAAATAAATATTTTATCCAAGTTAACTTTAAACATATTATTTCCTAGCTTTTGCTCCAGACTTTGTGCAGATTTTAATTAAAAGTAACTTAATTAATTACCATCTTGTAGCAGGGTTCTATTATGTGCCGAATACGACACTAGGAGTATTTATTTTATTTTAAAAGAATAAGAAATGCTAATAATGCAATAATGCTAATAATGCTAATAAAACACCATCTAAATTCAAATTATACTCGTATAACTATAACTATGATTGAATACTCATACCAACTTTCATCTCTTATTTTACACATTTTAAGCATTACTTTTACAATAAAAAGTAGCCTATGTCACTTTCCCTAATCAAAATTATATTCTTACCAAAATTTATGAAAATTACTCCAGTGGTTATTGCGTGAAAACGTAACAAATAAACAACTAAACACCCATTCGCATTTATAATATACTTAAAATTATATAATGTTAATTATACTCTCACAAAACACCAACTCCTGTAACTATTATATAAATTACCATTTCCATTGAAACCAATTCCGTAAAACAATACTAATAACATTACATTTCGCATTTCTGTGCGCTTTTATGATCAAGTATGACTTTTTGTTTCCCGACGCGGCATTCGAAACCGTCGCTTTGACGTCAGAATAAATTTACCACGGTTTACAATAACATAGCATAGCACACCACAGCATAACTATAAATACATAAATAATATAAATAATTATAGAACACTTCTAATTCCGCCGGCGCGTAATCCCAATAATCTCAAAAATAAATTTACGCGGAAGTTCATCAACTCAATTTACCCATTTACTCATTTAATCATCAATTTGGTGACGACGAAAAACACTCTCAACTATAACTCACTTTATTCTCCCACTTAGTCATTTTCCATGGGGTTAACGAGTACCAACATTGATTTATACACATTCCGCAGCTTAGGAATGAGGTTAGGTTGTGTTACCTACGCTTTAAACCAGGCCACGAATGTAATTAACCTCTGAGATTAATAAATAATTTGCGATACAATTACTACACCTAGTTATATAGCTATATGTGTTTGTAGAATATTGTTTTAGTCACGTTCGTGTTGTTGGCTAATCACGAAAAATCATGATGCAAAGATTACCCGGCGTATGCGCTTCGTGCAGCGCCGTCGTTTGCACAAAGCGGAAGCGATTTATTACCCGGCGCACTCAATGATACTCCAACATATCAAACGTGTGCTTTATCAAAAGATACCCCCCGCAGTAGCGCGAAATAACGCGCAGTGTGGGTGTAAACATTGCAACAACGAAACTGACAGCTGCGCGCAACATACGAGTATGCGCATGTTGCGAGAATGTAAATATTGCATATTGCATTCCGGGGCATGGAAGGACAAAAATATAGAGATGATAACTTGCCTTTATCACAGGTTATTGCTGGTTGTGTGTTAGTGTCAATATGCGTTGTTACCAGCTGGGAAATTCATTGTAAATATTTAAGTTGTGAAGGTAGTATGAGTATTAGTATTTGACAGAGAGAAAGTGGAAGTAGACGTTATTGCATATTTTCATTATTATCTTAGTTACGTAGAGTTCTTTTTGTGCGAGAGGTTGAAAATGAGAAGTTTTGCACTAATGATGCTATGCGCTAGTTGATTTTGTCGAACAAAAGGTAGGCGAGTGAAATGTGAAGCCAGTTGATGTTAGAGAGGAAAAGAATTTAATTTAAAAATTGTCACAGAAAATAATAGATGAAGTTTATTTTAGAAGTCGTTTTATGTTATAAGTTATTTTTTCAGGCAGAGAACAAAATGAGAAGTTATTGTCTGCGTAGATGTGAGAAAATTGTAGTGAATTAGTGGTGAAGAATATTTAATTGGTATTAATGTATGAAGAATGAATAGCAAAATGCATAAAAGAAGAAAATTTTGCTATTATTAATGTTTTAAAAGCATTTTAAAGCTTTTTTGTGAAAAGAAAGAAGATTGTTTTCTGCTTACTAAAGTACGCGAAAATAGTATATTAAGTATCAAGTGGCTAAACGGGGACTTTACTCACGAGATTGATTGAGAGCGAGTGTAGCGAGCGGTCAATCAATCAAGTGTTTAACAATGTTTAAACACGTGGTGGTTACGCTGATTTTTCTACTTCTACTCTAGTTTCACGTTGAGGTTTTTATATTTCAACTTTTTATTTTATTTGCTTTGACGTGTTTGACTGACGTCGCATGACTTTCATACGGTCTTGGGCTGCTCGGTAGGAAATGCGCAGACGCAAGCTCCGTCCCGTAGATAATGCCCGCAGATAATGGATATTACGCACGACTTGGCAATCCGTATATACAGTACCACTTTTTGTGTCTAAAAGCCGTGGAAAAACTGGCGCAATATAAGTGGAAGCAGAAAAAGGTATAAAAAACATAAATTTTCGTGACTTTGATGTATAAAATCAGTTTTTGTCTCTTTTCCCTCAAAAGTTTCTATCGCGCTTTTGAAATTAAGCGAAAAAGCTGATGTTATGTGCAATTAATTAATAGAAGTTACTAAAAATACAACTTTACTAAAATTTCTATTTAATTACTTTGATGTTATAAATTTTAGCACTCTATCTGCATTAAAGAGACTTTTCACAAACTAAAAATACGGTAAAACAATTACGAATGTGCAAATTCAATTTAATTTTCACCTCTCCACGTTTGCAAAGACAATTTCTGTTGTTTTGTCAGGAAGTCGAAGGACCTACGAGTACACCAAACATACGCGAAAAGCGGCTGCTACTCGTAGCTACCTAAACTTTGAAAATTAGCAGGTAGCCAAAGTTTAATATATACGCACAATTTCCACTACAGTGTGCTTCGCGTATCTTCAAAACACACAACACTCGTAATTAAATTGAAACTCCTTAATTCCTTAATGCACAAAATGACAGACAAGCATCAAAAACAATTTGACGCTCCGAAAGAGATGTAAACGCAACGCGAAAATAAAACTATTTTGGGTTTGGTTCAGGTTGGCGATTCTGAAGATGAATTGAGGATGACGAGCACACAGGTTTCGGTGGTCTAGTGCCCCAAACGGCTATTGACCCTATTGTGACACGAAAAGATAATGGCGCATTGATGGAAGCCGACGGCGGCTGCAATTCAATCAACGCATTCGACCGTCGCCATCAGTACACAAGAAACCCCAGCGGACACAACGACCGCCGGAGCGAAAATCCACCATACGGTTTATAATTCCATATTGCTGTGTCAATGATAATCAATTTCAGAAATAATTAAATTTATTATTTTACTTTTAGAAAAGAAATTGATTAAAATTATAAGATTTACTTGATTGTAGATATTTTAGAATCTTTTCAGTTATATTGATGAAATTTGAGGTTAAATTGAAATAAAAATAAATGTGGCAACGTGTTGTGACAACAACAACACTGTTGTCAACGCGGCAACGTTGTAAATTATTTCTAACCTAAAAATCTTTTGAAATTTTAAATAAAATTTATATAAAAAATGACTGGCAGCGCTCGAGATGAGACGGGAGATCGGTCCGTCTCTCTCTCTCTCGTTATACCTGCGATCGGCCTCGTGACACAAGTTTCTGAGTATGTCACCCGACTAAAACGATTTTAAAGACGTTATCACGTCAAAAACCTTTTTAGCCAACACAAAATAAAAACTAATTTCTACCAAATAGTAATGCTAAATAAATTATTTTAAATTGAAATAAAATTTTCCAATTCCCACACACGGCCCACAACAAGTTCCTCCGTTATTGTTTCCCATCGGATGCAATTTTCCATTCAATTGCAGTCTTTAACAATTTCCTCGCATGCTATCCCTCTCATAGTCTCGTATATACCTCGCATGTTGATTTTAAATTTCGAGCAAAACACGCGCACGAATAAAACGTATATTTTCATTATAATCTTTGACTCTACTATAAATACGGCCGAGCGCGCAAAATATTTAGACTGCGCGCAAATTCAGCAGTTAGCAGCACCGAAACCGTTACAAATAGTACAAAATAGTCGAAAATAAGATACTCTCTCATATAAATAATGTATAAATGTGTTACTATGCTAAGTGAGTAAGGTTATGTTGCAAACTTACGATTGCTTTCTGGATTAAAACTCACAAAGTATCCCAATGCGCCAAAATTCACACACAAAAATTAACCGCTGCGTTTAATATCGCGAATAATTTTCATCCTGCGTGTGTGTGCGTTTAACCGTTGTTCATTCCGCGTTATTTACACGCGTAAAAATAGACCACTCGTGCATCTATTTGTATAACTAATACTTAAACTCGCCTGGCGAATATCATATGTGTTTAGTGTTGTAAATATCGTCCGGATAGTGGCTCGAAATGTTTACATTCGTATTCATAATAATAATTCGTAAAATGATTCATTTTAATATCGACTAAGTCAACAGAATTAAGTTTCACACTTTTATTTTATTCTGTTGCACTGTTGCAGAGTTTGTCGGATTTAGTTGAAACTTGAATGAAAAAACATACTAAACTACTCGCTGTCAGTTGCAGGAACGTTCAGTTAGGTGAGTTCAGGTGGATTAATTGAATCCTCGTTTAGACAGCGCGATTAAATTAATGTAATCGTATTAAAATGCGAAGTTCTGCGCGCGATGTGCGCGATAATAGGCGCTGACAATTTTCTCGCGCAACAAAGCAACAGGTATTGTCGAAAAGCCACCAAAGTGATTCGGGATCATTTGAAAAGTTTCTGATTAAGTTATTACCTTTGCCTTTGGAGTTGAAGCTAAATGATCTAAGCCGATATGAATCCTCGTCTTCATCGTTGGCATTGTTGCTATTCGAATAGCTGCGATTGTCGGGGACATCCAAGAATGCAGCAGATTTACGATGGTATACAGATGTGCCTCTTCGTGAGGCAGTCGTGGATCCTTTCCTGCGAATATTTGGCGATACATCCGGTGTATGCCCATCGGTCTGCTGGTCCAGCTTCGGCTCACTGCTGCAGTTCTTCACGTTCGCGTTGTTCGCGTTCGCGGCGGCGGCGTTTGCAGCGGCGCGTTTCCGCACTGACCGCCCGCCGGCGATGCGTGCGCTTTGGGAGCGGGCTGCAGGCCGCCGCCGGCGTTGCTGCACCGGCGTGCCGGCCGAGTCCGGTGTCGGCGGCAGCATCTCCATGCTCGCGGAGCTCGCCGCGCAGATCGACGCCGAGCGCCCTTTGGCGCGCTTCAGATGCGCGTAGTCGTCGGTCATGGCGCGCACTGAGGCAGGCCCGGCGAACGGCGGCCGGCGGCGGCGGCGAGCGAGCGTCGCGACGCGCGCCGACCCGCGTGTGTGTTTATTTCGGGCCGGACGACATTCACCTCTCCGTCGCGGCGCGCGCTCGCCGCAAACTTTTACTACTTTTACAACTTTTCGGCACGCGATGACATCGACACCGAGATTACACAAAATAATCTTCTACATAACTTTGTACCTACAAAACAAATATTTAATTTAATTAAAAATCATTTTAACATATTTAATATCCTGTATAATTGAAGGAAAACCCAGTTACGCGAAATGCTGAGTCTGAGTTTGAGTCTGAAGACGTATTTAAACGGAATAATGTGTGGCCGAGTTCCGAAAGTTTTATAAATAACGTGTGGCATCGTAGGCGCTGTTCGTTCAAACGGACAGAAATCATTCGCGATTTTATATGCGCTTTGAAATAATTCGCGAAACAATGCGCGTCGAACAGAAAACGCAGCGCAAACGAATTAAGCCCTCAGCAAATAAACAATCACGCGCGCGCTAATGCACGCGTACTTTGCGTTGCACAATCAATTAACAGACCAACGCGCATCAGTTCAAAATATAACGAAAACTCTACTAATGCATTGAAATTCAATTCAATTCAGCATCAATTAAACGTGAAGCTCACATTAAACACAAACATTTTAATTGCAATTATCTGAATTCGCAACCACACATTCAATTTGATTTTATTTCGGTTTTCTTTTGTTGTTGTAATCATCTATGATGAAAGAAAACTAGGAGTCCACGGCCAGCGTAATGGTTTTGCCATTTCGTAAAACTTTCAGAACGTTTTTCTTCCCGGGTAGCAACTTATCGTATAAATCAACCGTGGAGTTGACTTGTTCGTCATTTACGTGAGTAACTACATCACCTACCAAAAATCCTATCCTGTAATAATTATAATTAGATTATTGCAAGTTTGAATAACAAGGAAATAATGAAAATAAAATACTTTTCTCCTTGACTTGATCGCATAACCTTCCAAATCAAAACTCCTTGCTTAATATCACCGGAAAGCAATTGAAACTTTGTTGCAACATCATCAACTATTTCATGATTCATCGTAATTGTTGTTATTCCTAAATTATTAACTGTATGCACCGGCAGAACTTTATTTTCATTGATGTAATGAATTCTATCGAGGAATTTCGATACAAATTCTAAAAAATAAAAAATAAAAATAAAATTAATGTTTTTTAGGTTATAAATTGTATATCTTACCAACTGGTATAGCAAACGATATACCAGCAGTAATCCGAAGATTATTAATGCCGATAACTTCGCCGTCCAAGTTGACAAGAGGTCCGCCCGAATTTCCGAACGTGATTGGCGCGTCCGTCTGAATGTAACGCATCTGATAATTCCGTAAACCCAATTCGTTCGCATTGCGATTCACGCAGCTAACCTAAAATATAAGCATTGTTGCCAACCTGATAGATGTGTATTGAGGCTATGTCTTACCACACCAGCTGTCGCTGAATGACTCAAAGACAGCGGGCTTCCCAATGCAACCACCCATTCACCAACGCTGACATCGCCTGATTTCGCAAGCGGTAGTGCGGGTAGCTTCCCTTCCGGATTAATCTTAATCAACGCCAGATCTATATTCATATCGGCGTTCTCCACGGTCGCTGTGTAGGTCTTTCCGTCTTGCATTTTCACCTGCACCACAGCGCTGGGCTTGTTAATCACAACATGTGCGTTAGTCAATATCCAGCCGTCGTCAGACACGATAAACCCTGATCCGTTTGAGACAATTAATTGACTGTCGGTCTCCTTGTCGATTTTACGCGTGTCGCGTATTTCTACGTACACCACGGATGGTGCACACTTCTCAACTACTTTGTTGATGAAATTAAAGCGGTCGCGCAGTTTGAAATCTTGTAGTTCTTGAAAATTGTTGCTGATATGCAATGCGTTGTTATTGTAGTTGTTTTTCTTTGGGATCAGAGTGTGACCGTAGAAGTTGTAGATCATTGCGCTGCAAACGGCGGATATTACTGCGACGCCAGCGAATGTTTGCCATTTGTAGCCGGGCGGTGGAGGCGGCGGACGATCTGTGTAGTTTAGTATTCGTTGTTGAGCGACTCGGCGGCCGCTGACGCTGCTTGAACGCAGCTGTCTACATACTCTGCCTAAGTGTTGCATATTAGTTCACTAGCATCGACGATGTCCATCTAATTGCTAGGTGAATTGCACGTTTAATTTAAACTTATCTCGTCGTGAGATTCCCGAAACGAATATGAACATGAATTTTCTTTGGCGCTTGACACTAGGAATTTTAGTTAAGTGAGAGATTGTCACTTGTTCCGTCAACGAGACAAAATTAATAAACTTCATTTTTGTATTGTTAGTTTCAGCAACAGTCACAAACAACAATTAATATTTGAAGTGAAAACTTCCTTAGAATCGTGATTTTAAAATTAATGAAACGACACTAAAAAGAGATAAGATTCTCTCGCAGAGCAGTGTTCTGAAGGTTTAGAAGTAAAACCGCGTGTGAACTGCACGCATAATTTTTTTTTAATATTTTGTTGTTATATATTTTATTCTAAATCAGTCTCCTAGCGCCCTCTGGGTACAAAGTTCTAAACTTGATTGAAAAACAAAGTAGGTTGAACCGTGTGCTGATTTTTCTAGGTTATAATTGAATAAAGTGCAAGAAGTATTTAATAAAATGTTTGTACTCTTAAAATCAACAAATACTTTAACACAATTAAACAAAACATGTGTAAATATAGTAAGAAATGGTCATCACTTAAGAGGAAAGCCACCTGGAGTTGCAAAATCTCTCCAACAGAGATTAGAAGGTAAAAATCAAATTAAATCGCAACACAACTTCTCTTACAAACTGAAAATCTTTTAGAAATTAACTACAAGGATCCAAAGCTCACTTTCAAAGTGAATATTGGATTTGCTGCTTCAAAGACAGTCCAGGATCAGGCCAGTCGCATTGGTGTTTTAAAAAACAACAGACAAAATAAGGAACTGGAGAAACAATCAAGAAATCAGTCATGTTTGTACAATTTTGAGTTTTGAGTCTTAGAATTATTGTTTTTGTCATTTTAGTGTTGATTAATTTGGATGATGTGAAAAAAGAGTGGTTGACACAAGGTGGGCCCCAACATATTCAACAAATTGCAGAACATTATGGAGTATTTGAACATCTCTTTGGGGATGCTTACTTTGCTCCAGTGGTACCCTTACATGTAAAATACAATATAGGAGCGGATAATGTAGCTCCAGTTTATTATGGAAATATTTTGAAACCTAGTGATACTGCAAGTGCTCCTGAAGTTGAATTTAGTAGTCCCAAAGGAAATGATGGACTATGGACACTAATTATGACCAATCCTGATGGGCATTTAACTGAGAATAACAAGGAATATGTGCATTGGTTTGTGTAAGTTTTGCACTTTTATTATAAGTAGCAACTTCATCTTAGGAATCCAACAAATCATAGATTAACAAAATCTAAGCTCCGTTCTTGAGTTATAAATTCTGTAAACAACACAACTTTGTTTTATGTATAAAAATGAATGAATTTATATTTACAGAGGCAATATTCCTGGTGATCAGTTCAGTAAAGGTGAAACAATTGTGAACTACCTGCAGTCTTTTCCTCCGAAAGGCACCGGATTCCACCGTCATATCTTTGTTCTTTACAAACAAGAGAAAAAATTGGATTTCTCTGCGTGGAAACGCGATGGCGCATGTTTAAACCTTTCAGATAGAACATTTTCAACACACGAATTCTATAGAGGTTTACAGGATGATTTAACACCCGCCGGACTCGCATTCTTCCAAGCAGATTGGGATTCTTCGTTAAATGCATTTTACCATAATAAATTAAGTAAGTTTATACACATATTAATCTTATCCATATTTTTATATTTTATATTTTTTCATTTACTAATTATTTTTAATTAATTAATTAGATATGCAAGAACCAATCTTTGAATATGATTTTCCCGAAACCTATGTGAAGAAGCAAGAGTGGTTCCCGCTGAGAGAAGCCTTCAACTTGTATATGGACCGTTATAGAGATCCGAAACAAATTAACAAAGAATTTCTGTTGCGGAAATTAAAGGATGTGGATCCCTTTTCACCGCCTAAGAAGCCACTGCCATATCCAAATGCTGTTAAGTGTGAGGGTTATGTCCCCAGTTGGTTGAAGTTGGAAAAGACGAAGTCTCGCTACAAGTGGGGTCGAATTAACGATATATAATTGTATAGATTGCTATGTGGAAGTTTATAAATAAAGTGTTTTTACACTCAAAATTTTATATATATTTTTTCTTCAGCCAACCTAAAATTTCCCCTTTTTGAGACTTCAGGAAGTTCCTCGGGATGCAATCATAATAACTATTGACTATTAGTTAACTATATAACTATTTTTTAAATATTTTTCGATATTTGTATTGTTGTATAATGGATGGCTTCCCTACATTGCGCCATTACACTCTTAGGAAATATCAAGTGTCACATCCATATAATGTAATTTTTCTTGAATTACTCAATAAATTTGTGAGAATTATTCATTTAAGTAAAAGTTGCTTATAACGTGTCTAGTTATAATTTATTGCATGCTTTGAAAAAATGGCAAAGAATACAATGTTGCCTGGAGCTACTGTAGCCGGTTGAAAGTGGAAACCACAATTTTATTTAACATGTGAACTTGAATAATATTTAACTAAATATTGTAATTATTGTCTAAATAATTAATTTGATAACAAAATATTACTAAAATAAAGGATTTAAAATCACGTTTTCCTATTATTATCCGTTAAAATCAAAGTTAATTTTTGCCTAAGAAATGATGAAGGAAACTAGAAATCTTGTTTTTCTTAATTTTCTCGCAAACTATTATAGTTAGAGAAAAATAGTTTTTAGATTTGAATTCAGGACAAAATTTGAATTATTTGGCATTTAAAATTATTCAATTAACTACACTTATGTAATAAGTGAAAATTGTCAATAACTTGAAAACTAATTAAGATAGCGAAACAAAAATTGAATTAATAAATTCCTGGCATTGTTTTACATCAGTTTAGTAAGTTTGGTAATAATCGGAGGTGAGGTTCAATTTTGTCCGTTTTGATTTCACCTCTCATTTTCCGAAATATCGATGTTATCGGAAAACTGACTGCAAATCTTTCATCGCATTGCGATTCTCTATCTATTGGCGTTTTCCATTTTGCTCTGACTTAAAAAATAATTTTTGGACCAAAAAGTAGTCAAGTGTAACCTCTTGACAAAATTTTCCCAGTTTTTGTCGACTTTAAAGTATCAAAAAACTAAATCTGCCATTTTATAGACCCTTATCATGGCATGAACAATATGCAGAAAAATCTTTCCCAACTTAATTACTTTTCGAGAAAACTGGGTTGGAAAATTAAATTTTAATTCTTTAATTTTACAAATTTTAAAATATAATCTTATATAGAATTTTTCGCGAAATACTATGCCGTTTTCTGTTCCTGAATATCTTGATTAGTTTATGAGATAATTAGAAATTAAATACTACTTGGAGTACTCGTTGAACATAAACATATTTATAGGGTAATCCTTTGAAACTACTAAGTCAAAAGTAATATAAATGAGGCAACTAAAGACCACTCTACGCACTGGTACTACTAGATTTAATTTATACAATCACAACTTAAAATGTCAGGCGCGTCCGCCAAATTGGTGTTAATTAGTATCATTTTCATGATATTAAAATATTGTACGTTTTTAGTGCTTATTATTAAAGCATACCATTTTATAGTACAATTATTTTAATACGTCATTGTAAATTTACTGATAATTTAAAAGATGTATGACAATAACGAATATCAGGATCCTCCTCCGCATATATTAAGTCCTTCTTTGGCAACCGGTACTCTTCCTTTAGTCCCAGAAAGAATGCACGCTTTAGCAGCGTGCAACTTGTACATATCTCCTTAAAAAATATAAAAATATATTTAAGGAACAGCTTCACAAATTTTATCCTGTCATACTGTACAAATATAAACATTCATGATACGAGATTATCTCTGACATTCATGAGCTTTATTGTTATTAACTTGTATTTATGTGCGACAAACTCATGTCTAGACGAAGACGAAAGACATCTATGCATTCAACAAGGAAAGTTCGAAAATTTGTCAGTTTACATCACGTAACTTAATGAATAGTTTTGACAGTTACATGTTGAAACTCCATATCACTGGTAGAAAATAAAGAAAACTTATATAATACTTTCATGTGGTAAAACATATAATGAAACTATGTGGTAGTTTTCTGTATTTTCCTTCACGTAACTTACCATTTGTAACCTAACGTATTCTTTTAATCACTTCGCAATTACTCGAAAACTAATGCTTCAAAATAAATGCATAATGGAATTAAACAAATTTAGCGTTAACAATTATGTATCGAAAGCAACATACAAATTTAAACAATGTTAATGTGAATGTACAATTAATTTTGTTTACTTATCACATTCATTATAATAATCCTACCATTAAAATTTTCATCAAGTAGATTTTAATTAATAAACACTATGCTACAATAATTAATACAAAGTTAATACATATTTATAAGTTAATTATAAATTAACTCGCAAAATATTAAAAGGGAACTGCGCCAAATCTAATTTCACGCCATCAAAAACAAAAAAATATTGTATAAGATAGTGTGCTTGTTGATTTTGACTAAACAAATATCATTCGCTGATGTAATATTATGCAATACATGATTAATCGTCAAAATACTCAAGAATATCGCGCCGAAATTGATTAATTTTCTTATTATTATTACTACATCAATTGTGTTGCTATAATTTGAAGTTTTTATCAGCGTTCGGCGCATTTCTAAACCTATAAATACACATCGATGTCGGTAAATATTGCGCGCACGTCTCCAGCACATGGTCATGATTGTAATTAAGCAGATGGCGTCCGCGACGTGTGCGGGCTCATTACGATCGCAGCTCGCTCGCAGGACAATCAGTTGGTCGCGAAGCGTTGATAATGCCTGGCCGCAAGTCGTGCTTTCGCTCACCGCCCGCCGGCGATCAGTGCACCACGAACGCAACGATTTAATTAACTCTAAACTACTTAAGTGCAATCGCGCCGCAAATCATTGTGCATCCTACGCGCCACGCAACGCCAATTACAATTTTGGATTAATTAATTGCGATTGTTATACACTCAATTAATTATTAAGCTAAAGGTAATCAACGAAAACAATGCATTTAATTATATTTAAGTTTATACTCGCACGCAGGCAGGAAAGTTTTCATTTATCACTATCAATCGATGATTATCTCGCGGTGGGTTAGCGATAAAAGTTTAGCTGGTGAAACGATTAACGTTAAACACAACGGACTTGTGCGTCGCCATCGCGAAGGGTCAAGTAAGTCACAGTTGAACATTTGCATACAAACGCAGCCCGGAAATCGCCGATTCAAAAATCAATCTGCGCACGAGAAATGCGTACGATTCCTGTTATTTTATTTTTTAACGGTACGCACATGAATGTCAACTAATTGCGCGGAATACATTTTGTTTTCCACTGCCAAACATGAAATATTCGTAATATTCTTGACCGCAATATGAAATTATTCGATTGTTTTCGATAATATTTTATAGTTACAAGTTAACAATCTCTATTCGTGTCAAATTCGAATGTTTCACGTAATTACACATTGTAAAAACGTGTTGTAAAAACTCGACAAGGTTACAACTAGTCAATCGTTTCGGAATACCTGCGAAACTATTAATAAGTACATACTATTCGTGGAATAAATTTAAAGATTCGTCACCTGCAACACTGACTGTTCCTTGTGCAATAACTGCGTTTAAAAATTGTAAGGTTATATCGGTTTAGATATTTTTTTAAATTAATGGTTACCATTTAAAAGAACTACGCAGCTGCAATATAAATAAATATTAGTATAAATCAATTGTTAATATGTTTTGTTATCTTACGGACATGACCTGTAGTATTTCTGCGCGTACAAAAGAGTCAAAACCGGTCACGACGTTTTAGAAATTAGTTGAATAAACTTTTTACGCTAGGCAACCAAACATACACGCATATAAACATAGTGTTACAAAAATATTCTAACGAATAAAACATTGCACGCAAAATGATAAACAAATTATTTTTGTTTAGAACAATGGATTTGGAAACCGGCGAAGTACAAATGTCTGTCTGCGACAGGAAACAGGCGAGATGCCCGCCAGCCCGCGTCTCAACTCCGAAACTGGTGAGCCGGAAATGAACTTTACGCAACCCACAGCGCGCCGTTCCTTCCGAATACCTCAAGGCTACATCCGCCAACCATGCGAACAAGCAGACCATCAGCAGTGCCACCTTCCTGCTGATGACTTTCGCAACACCCGCATGAGTTCAGTCATTCTCTTCCTCCTGCCGACTGTGATCTTCGCGCCTGTCGTCGCCATCTTCCTCGGTGTGCTTGAGATCAGTCTGCACATCTGGGCGCACAAGAAAAACAAAAGTCTACGCGGTTCGGATATTTTCTACCAGAGTCCGCTGCACGTTATTGTCAGCGAATTCTGCGCTTGCTGCATCGATGAAAACAGTAAGAAAAAGATTACTAAAATGCAGGATAAGACGAACAACAAGCTCACAAAGTACCACTACGGTTTTAGGATAGTTACATAGGTTTAGTTTAAAGTTTGGTATTATTATGGGTCGAGTGTGCGTTTGTGTTTTAATGGCCGCCGGCAACACCGAAAAAATGTAAGACATTGACTGATTGTTATTAAATGCGAGATTTAAACAAAACTTAAATTAACATTACAATATAGATTAAGAATAAAATAACTAACAAGTGGAGTATATCACAATACCAAAATGGCGTCATCTTGAGTGTAAAATTGATCACAAACCGGATATTACCTGTGTTTCAGTATCTCTTTCGTAGCAATTCGAACGATTTTATGAAAATCTGAGTTGATATGCGCTCGCCAATACTTGCAGCGGCCCCAAATGACAGCTGAATAGTTAGGACTTTGTATACCATAAAATATCCTCGCTAATGCCCTACCAGTGAAAGTATTATCTCTGTACATGTTAATCATAGCGCGGCAATCGTTAGCAATGAGACCTTCATCGCAAGGTTTCGGTTTCAACTCGTACAGAGATAATGGCTGAGCACTGTCGAAATATTCACGTATGCGATTTTTCAATTGGAGTTCTTTTTCCGTTACTACGTCGTTGATGCATTGTCGATAGGTGACTTCTGCGCATGCGGTGACAGTCTCGTGCAGAGAGCGTAGTTGTAGCAGCGCACATTTTTCTTGATTTTGTACACGCGAATATAAAGAGTCCAAAACTTCGTCTAGTTGTTCATCGGTGAGATTCCCAGGCGCAAGCAGACGAAAACCAAGATCATGGAACTGTACCGTGAGGAAGGAACGTTTTGGTTGGCCATTTTCTAAGTTAAACAATTAAAATTAGCTATTGGAGTATAGAAAGTAATAATTTACAATACCTGATGTCCATTCTAGATTTTAAGTTTATATTTGCATATCCCACTGTCCCATCCCATCGCAGCCGCCACATCAACAATAGGAAACTCAAAAATGTTTTCTTTATCTTTCTCCTTATTTGCGAAAAGTGCCAGCGCCATTGCAAGTGGTGGGCAATCCTGCGCTGCTTTACGAATGTAATTCCCTGAACCATACGCGATAATTTTACAAGTTGTGTACGCAGGACTCAAAACTTCGATGTATCTTTTATCGTGAAGTTCTAAATAACAAAGAAGCGTTGAAATATTCTCTTCAGGAATATCCAAAGCCTGAACTGTTTGTTCAATAGGAAAGGCCACTTCGTGTTTTGGACAGACACCTTTACAAGTACAAGGGACAAAAATCTTCGAGTTTAGTTTGCGGATAACATGACGGTCTAACGAATCCGAGAAAATGTGTCTTTGTAATTCGTCTTCATCACGGCCCTGGAAATAAAATTTAGAAGAGATATGTAAGTGTAAGTATGCAACCAACATAACACCAAATGAATGTCAGCAGGAGAAAAAAGAAAATGGCTGTATTACCTGTGCATCCAAAAACAAATGACAATGAGCAGGAAGACCATCGCGTCCAGCACGACCCACTTCCTGCACGTAACTCTCGAAGTTCTTGGGCAGATTATAATGTATCACAGCTCGAATGTCAGACTTATTAATACCCATACCTATTTAAGTAATAACAAAACAAAAATAAGAAATTTTTCGCTTTTTTAAAGATAAAAACTCACCAAAAGCAACAGTTGCAACAACAATCCTTAAATCACCTCGCATGAAACTATTCTGTATACTCCTCCGCTTACTAGCAGGCAAACCAGCGTGATAAGGCTCCGCCTGAACCTTCAACTTCTTCCTTTTCCTTTTATTACCCTCCTCAACTTCTACATGATTTTCATTCATCAAACTAGTCCGCAATAACGATGCAATCCGTTCACATTCCTGCCTTCTTGTACAATACACAATTATACTCTTCAAATTTTCAAAACGCTCCGATAGTACAAGATTCAACAAAGCATTATCACGATTACCATCCTTCGAAACGGTCAGTCTTAAGTTATTCGGCAGTGGAATATCACTAATAATGCCATTTCGACCATCAGGAATAGATAAATGACTAATAATACTATCACTGGTAGCTCTAGTAGCAGTAGCAGTCAATCCCAGGATAGTTTTAACGCCCAAACGTTCTTTCAGAATACTACAGATCATCAAATACGAAGGACGAAAATTATGTGACCATTGTGACACACAATGTGCTTCATCAATACAAGCGAATGCAACTGGCGGTAATTTGCGTAACAGTGACCCGAAACCTGTTTGTTTCTCACCAGCAACCACAGCTTCCGGTGAAACCAACAAATGTGTAAATCTCCTGTACTTATAGCGTTTAATATCCGCTCCTTTTGAACTTTAGTTTTGTTTGTGTGTAAACACTCAGCTTTCAGGAATTTGGGAATACCAGTTACCTGATCCTCCATGAGTGATACTAAAGGGGATATTACCAAAGCAATGCATGGTTCGCGTTTGGTGAGAAGATAAGCTGGTAGTTGGTAACACAAACTCTTACCGGAACCAGTACTCAAGGTGACCAAGGTTGATTGACCGGAAAGTATACGCATGATTGCTTTCTCTTGCCCGCAACGGAATGATGAATGACCAAACATTTCTAGAACATCAAAAACTTCCTGTGGGGTTGGGATAATTGAACCGTCTTCATTTGTGTTGTAATATGGTTTGATCACTCTGGAATCGTCAATGAATTGTTGTTGATCAACCTTTTTAACATACTCTTCTAGTCTTAATGTTTCTGCTAACAAATCATCATCGTCATTGTCACTAAACATGTTATTATCAATATCTTCACTTGAATCATCTTCATTTTCATCATCATCTTGCTCATCTTCTTGATTATCTGTTTTATCCACTTCTCCAGCATCCCCGCCATCTTGTTTATCATCCTGTCTTGTCCTTCTGATCGCAAGTTGTCCTTTGGCCATTTCTGAAGCTTCCTCTAATGTAGGATAAGGACAAAATTCTCTTCTCCTGCGGGAGAGGTAATAAAGCGTCTTCTTTCTGCATTGGGCACTTTTCAGCAAAATGGCCGACTTTACCGCAATTAAAACAAGTCAAGTGTCCGCCATCACAACCACGCATGTCCATATCAGGCCCGCAAAGTGCATTTTTCGCTTTGTTTTGCTTCCACAACTTCTTTTGTATTTACTAAAGTTAATCGACTTTTTACCTCTGGAGTAAGTTTTCTTTTCAAGGTTAATGCGTACAAAGTTATCATTGAGATTACCGCTTTTGATTTTTTGCTCGAGTTTCTCCATCTTCTGTTGTTGCGCTGTTTTCATTTGAGGTTCTTTTGGTTTTGATGATTCTGGTTGAGACTTAGACTTTTTGAGTACGTTTTTAAAGTTGGTATCACGTGGAACAGTAACACGCCTTGGTTTTATAGAGAATTCTAGTTCATAAGTTTTTTCTTCTTCGGTTGATTCAACTTGTTCTTCAATTTGTTTCTTTTCTTTCGGTTGTTTCTTAGGTTGTGATTTCTTCTTTGGAAGTGATTTCTTTTTAACTTTTACTTGTGTTTCACCTTCATCATCATCATCCTCAACATGTTTAGTAGTAGAATCTTTTATAAAGTCAGGATCTTCATCTTCATCATTAGCAAATGGATCTTGTTCATCATCCGGGTCATTTAGATCTAAAGAAACTAAAGTTTTTCGATTTCTTGTTGATTTTCTGGATGGAATTTCTACTTTATCGACAATTTTATCCACAATTGGTTTAGTTTTTATTTCAGGTTTAACTATAGCAGGTTTTACATTTTCTTCAACTTCCATCACTTCTTCATGTTTAGTTTCAATTGGTTGTGTTGGAGTCAATTCTATAGGTTGAATAACAGAAGTATTTACATGATTAACATGATTCAACTTTCGTCGTTTACTAAAATGCAATTTTGAGTCTTCATCCTCATCAGAATCACCAATAATCTCATCACTGTCATGATCAGCTGTATCTTTAGTCTGATTAGTATAAAGTTGATGACTTAATGCAAAGTTACCTTCACTCAGACTTCTATTCACCATCTTAGTACCAGCACTGACTGCAACTCTCTTCATCCATCCAGCATCAACATTTCTAACAGTTGAAAACTTTTCATCAAGTACAGCCTGCACAACATTCAACGAATTCATTCTTACAGGTTCAATTGGTTTCGTTACTGCAGATTTTCACTATTAGGCATATTAACAACACTAAAACTATCATCATTCATAGAAGTATCATTCATACAAGATGTTGTAGGTTGTGAGAATGAAAAAGAACTATTCCCTGATACATTTAAACTTGTATCACTGTTTCTATGATGAAATGAGATAGATTTTCGAAGATTACGTTTGGATGGATTGGAATTCTTGAATAGTTTCTTTGTAAAACTTGAACTTGCATCAAATTTATTGGCTTTTGTAACTTTTGTTTCAGGTTTGTTGTTTAGGTGATTGCCCCATGTTTTGTCAGAGTTTACATTGTCTGTTAACTCTGTATTGTTGGTATTGACAGTTGGTGAATCTTGAAAATTTGATTCTTCCAATGGTATTGTTGAACTGGCATTGAAATTACTGCTGCAATTATTGCTGTCTTCAGTGGTGCTGATGTTGGGTGTGTTAAGAGTTGAGCTTGAGTTTTCGTCATCTTCGGAGTCAAAACCATCAATGTTTTGGAAACTGGCTTCTAGTGCAGCTGATTTTAGATTGAAGTAGGTTTTATAGGCGTAGCGGATTTCATTACTAGCTTCCCGAATATCCAACTGTATAAATTTTATAAACATGTTATAAATGTCAGAAGAAATAGTTGTATAAAGATTTGGATCGAATATATAATAGCTAACAAGAAATTATTTAACAGTAATTGATTTATAATAAGAAGCAATTTGTAGTAATGGTTCTAGTAATTATAAAGTAAATTTCGATTGCGTGACTGTAACTTATAAAAAATTGTTCATTATATTTATTAATAGCAGTTTATTGGACAAAAATAGAATAAAGTCTTAAAACTCAACTGCACTAAAGCAATCTTAAAAAAACTTGATTCTGATTCATTTTGACTGCGTAATTTCACAATTTACACCCAAAATCTGAAGAAATAAAGATGAAATGAAGTAATATGAAGTACATAATACAGAATAACAATGTTGTGAAAGTAGATATATTTTATAGAAAACAAAATAAACGTATTGGCCACTGTTATTCTAATGCATTTCAAATGTTTTAATGATCTAATTGACTATTTCAAGTCCTCTGAACTGTTTAGACCGGTATATTACATTTATATTACATTGCACCTACCTTTGATGGTAACCTTCCATTCTGCTTCTTGAACTGATGCTCCCAGTATTTCACTTTATATTTGCACTTTTCGTATTTACTTTTCAGCTCAGGATCATGTATTAGTTCCATTATCACTTATAAGCACTCGTAAATCACTTATTAACATAAAACAAACAGCTGATGACACGTAAAAACACGGTTTTCTTGCACTTTGTAACTAAGCAACAAAGCAAAAAGTGAACGATCTTAGAATTTACGCGCGAACTTTAAGTGCCGCATGAATATACTACCCAACATACGTTTAACCTCGGAATATTCCTCGACTCAGATGTATTATTTTTCAGTAGGTAGTCATGAACAATTGCAATATACAACATTTGAAGTGCAAGAAATGTAGACAAGTTATTTTGGATAAAGATCAGTGTACTGCTTTGATTAATGCCCACAACGATAAGGATTATCAAGGTGATTGCGTGTCAGTTACAGAAGAAACATTAATCTTTGTTGATGAATCTTGTCTACCAGAGTGGATAAAACCTCTGTTGAAGAAGAACAGTGGGCAAAAGGCAAATTAAATTGTCCTGGTTGTAACGCACGAGTTGGGGCGTTTGATTTTGTGTCTGGTATTAAATGTGATTGTAAAACTTCAGTTTTACCTGCAGTTTACTTCATCAAAAGTAAAGTTGATTTGTTAAAATAAGCAAATCGTTACAACATGGTAATTCTATTCATACTTCTTATTCTATTGTGTACTAATGTTTAGTTTAGAGGTTTAAATTTTGTGGAGATGCTGATTGTCCTGATTGGGTTCTGGCTTCCATCAACAATCTCTCAAAACTTTCATCAGTGAAGCTTAAACAGCTCACCAATGTAGTTGCTAAGGGTTTGGAGCACCAGCACTTATGGTTGATATAAATGTCTATAAATTTATTTAAATTAATCTTCAAATAATTATTTTTAGATGGCAAATGCTGAGAAATTATTCTCAGACTCAAAACTTGATCCCACTATTTCTTTGAAAGCATGTATAGCTTGTATACAGTATATTTTATATTCAACTGTGAGGTATAATTGTGATCATAATGCACTGAACAGTGAATTACAACAGTTGGGTTTACCTCGCGAGCATTCCACGGCAATAAAGAAGGTTATTGATGATCAAGCACAGGAAATCCATTCTATACTAAAGTCATCTTCTTTGAAGAGTAAATTTACAGTTTTGATTCTAATATTTTAATATTTATTTTAAATTATGTTGGTTTTAGTTAATCCATTACAAGATTTTTCGCTATCAATCGATGATGAAACAAACTGCGCCAAAATGCAGCTGACAATCAATGGGAATACACGGAATGTTATTATGACTCCACACACTGTTGATGTTTTGTTGGATAATTTGAAGAGAGTGCAACAAACTATGGTCGAACTGAATACCGCGCCTAATCCTCTAAGTTGAAATATATATTACTTTATAAATATTTGGGAAATATTTGTATGAATAAACAAATAACACTTTTAAATTGGTTTCTTTAGATTTTACCCTAGTATTTTGTAATTATTTGTATGCACTTGAACATAAAAGCATGGGCAAAATGGGCAAGGGGAGTGCTTGATAATTTTTATCGATGTTTTTGATAGTGAATATCTTCTAAACTAAAACCGCTAGAATCCAACGTATTGCAGATTATGAAATATTCGAAAATTCTCTATTAGATTAGAATATAAAATAATTAAATATCGTAGGGTAAAAGTGTAAGGTGATGAAAAGTGTGTGTAAAAACTTGTTTTGAAAAGAAAACAATAAAACTTATTTTAAAACAAGCGTTTAGGTTTCTTAAATAATATTTGATCATCTAAAATGTGTAAAATAGGTCTGGTTTCACAAAATACGTGAGAAAGAATAATTAATGAATAAATAATGTTTATTTAAATTGTAATTTATGTGAGACTTATCTGCGCACGATTGTATGCTATGCATCAATAACATTACATATTTGTTAACAATAATTATTATTAGTTAGGTCAAATGTGTGATTCTGTATTCACTGATTCATATTGATTACTTACAACTTGCTTACATGTATGTGTTTGAAGTGCGTGTACAGTAATTATCACTATCTGAACCTGTCCAACTCAATAAGATAATGATAATCACACCAACTTAGTTAAAGCTAAAAAAACAAAGTCATAATCTTAATTGAGATTATTTCATAAAATATATAAAATAATGCGTCAGCACATTTTACTAGCGAGTATAATAAAAATTATTGATTGATTTCAAAGAAGACTGATTCAGACATGAGAAATACTGCAAGTTCACATGTTTTGTACTTTGCAATTAGTGATCTGGGTATAATGATTGCATCACATTATGTTACATTTTGATAATTTACAATATCGACCTGAGCAATCCAAATTTCATTAACAATATATATGTATACTATTAAGTTAAAAGCTAAAACTCCTGCAACTATAATTTCGGCTTGCTCAGTTGAAGTGCTTCTATAAGAAACAATAACAATAATAAATATTCGTAATTACAACTAGTATTATCTTGTCAGCTACGTTAAAATTGGAGTTTTAATGTTATTATGATATCGTTTGATATTCTTCAAGCGCCCATCATTTTCTTCACTGTATATCCAGGCACAGCGTACACAAACAGCAAAATTATAATCGCCACAGCGAGGATAATCAACAGTTTGAGAATCTTCCATTTGTAATTGTGCCAGATGATGTAACGTATCGACTTGAGCGGGTTCAGGAACCACATGAATGATGCATCTGGTCGACTGTAAACGGACACGATTATAACCTCAAAATATCATCACATCACATTTCATTAACTTACTTTGGTTTTTCAAGTGCATCCGGTTCACCTCTTCCATACCCGACTGGATTTTTCTCCGCTTCGTCTTTGGTCAGTAAATGAAATTCCGCTTCGACTTTTCCAGTCAACTCTAGATCTTCATTATCCTTCTTAACGAAGAAGGGCCACCAGCCTTTGACGCGTTTCTGTTTAAATATGTTAACCATCGGTACGCAGTCGGACTTGAGCATTTCCAACGTGCATAATTTCGACGATTTCGCTCCTCGGGGAAACCTATTAAGGTCGAGGGTAATTGCCCCGAGGAAATCATCAGCCGAAAAGTGATCAGCATCCCAAACCTGCAGTTCTAACCTCGCTGGTATTTTACATTCGGTTTCATCCCACGAGAAAAGCGATTCTTTGCGTGAGATGACGATTTTTTGCTCAGCGACCATGTAATCAAAAGGATAAATGAATCTCCAGTTGAAATTACCTCGCCTGTGAGTGACCGATAGTGAATATCCGTGCATTGACAATCTTCTGGACCCTTTAACCATCTAACAAACAAACAAAACTCATAAAGTTAGGTTATGTTTACCCAAAATATTAAAGGTTATGTTTGATTTACCCTTTAACGTAGATATCCGACATCTTCTCGCCAGTGAAGAAAGCGTCATCTTCCAGAATGACATCGTCCGTGTTCCAAATGATAACCCGCAGCTCATAACTCTTGGGTTTACGCGGAGATATATCCAACGGAGGGCCGGGCAAAGGCATGTCCATCGGGAACATGTCAACCCACATCTCGATTTTCCCCTGCTCGATACCCGGCTTATCCGGGTTGTACAACGGCCGCGTTTCTATGTGCTCCGGGATCAAATCGCATCCAATACGTGGAAACTCTCGCCATCTGTGTAATACAGCTAGCGCCATGTGTTCCTCCACGTCTTTGGTGGTGTAGAAGTCAAAATCTTCCGTTTGGAGATTAAATGTATACCGGCCGATGCGCACTTCTCCATCTCCGTAGGTAGGGACATCCACTTTGCCGTCTTTGCATAATTTCGCGAGGATTTGGGTCGGTTTCATTGCGTCACGCCAACTGTTGTAACCGCTCCTAATTGAAACACGAATTTAGGATAGGTTCAATTAGTAATAAATATACAGGGTGTTTAGTAATTCTAACCTCTCTTTTCTGCATATTTGCCAATATTCTTATTTCATAATATTATTAATTTATACTTACTCTTCATATTTCGATGGTAGTCCACACGTGGCTCTGTGTCTACTATAGAATCTATTCTCCAAATCGATTTTGGTTTCGCCCACCATATCATCGGATCCCACAAGGTCCCAATCGAATATTTGCACAGTCAGGAGTGAATCCTGAGGGAATGTTGCCTCCACCTCGAAACACCTGTTAAAATTAATTACTTATTTAATATTTAACCTAAAAATTTAATTTTTAAAAACTTACTTTCCAAAACAGGATTCAATTGTTTCGAAATGTAGTTTTCCTTGTCGCTAATTCGTTTCGAACCTAAATGGAGTAAAATGTAGGGATCTGCTTTACCATTCAGATCCATCGGATGTAAATCGTTGGCTTTTACTATGTACACGCGCACCAAAACTCTGATTGGGTCATTGGAGGGTAGTCCTTGGAAAAATCCATACTGTGGATCAAAGCCCATTATCGTGTGGTCTTCCACATCCTTTGGTAGCGGCCATTTATACACTTTTATTGCACCCTGAGGAAAAAAGTAGAAAAATAAAAATAATAAACTTTCGTTGAAATTTTAAGGATTTACCTTGAATAAGCCAACAATACGACTGTCGTCCTCAGTTTCATCTCCTGTTTTCTTCCCTCGGTAGAGTTCGAACGAATGCAGCCATTCTTTAAACCCGCTGAATTCATGCCTCTGTTCTAGTTCAGTCGGATACACCTACCAAATGAATTTATATCCTTAGAAAGCAATAAATTACAATACCGCTAAATATTTAAGGCGTCGCATTCATTTTCTAGGTTATGTATCAAATATTTACTCGTCTCTTACCTTACACAGCGCGGTTTTCGTTTAACCCGTTTCCGCACCGACTTGGGACTAATCCTCGAAACGAACTTGGACGCATTTGCGGTGGTCTTGAACCCGAAGCGTCGTTTAGTCTCGTTGGGGCTTTTATCCATCAGTTGAGCATTCTCCTCGGCGGCGAGTAACATCGACGTACTCTCCTGATTCAAACGCTTTGCCTCCTTGGATTCATTAATCATCTCCTCAACAGATGCGAAATATTTGGTCCACCAATCCCTACTACCCTCTTCATCCTCCATATCCTCTTCTATGCTATGTTTTCGTTTCTTTAACTCTTTTTATTACGATCCGGGCGTATATCTGTACCATACGTGGACAACGACGCGAAATTCATGTCTTTTGGTAGTAATGGACTGCGTTCTCTGATGTCATTCGGCATTGAGAAGTGATTTGGTGTGGTTTGTAACTCCACATTGGTATCTAAAGCTCTCAAGTGATTTAAGGACTTTTACGTTCCTCTGCGTCTTTATCTCGTTTTGTGATTGGAGTATAGGTGTATTTTTGTATGGAGTTGATTGTATGCGTGCCCACAAGGGTATACCTTCCGAAACTTCTACAATCAACCACGCGGATGGTCAAAGGAGGTCGGTAGAGTTCCTGTTCGGGAAGGTCCAGATCTAAGAACTTAACCGGCATAGCAAAGTTGGGATTCTTCTTTGCATTCTGTATGATGGAAGAGTTGAGAATGTGACTGGCGCATTCAATGTCCACGCGGGGTTTGTCCACGGTGAGGAGATGAATTCTTTTGAGGTCTCTTAATCCCCAGAAAAGCACTTCGATTCTGTATCGGGATAAAGTGGGGCGTATTCCTCGCGGGACCGGAAGAATAGGCCCCATGTCTTTTGGATCTGTATCTTTATACATTGGGCGTTCCTTACACATCGGGATATCTGGTAGTGGTGGAGAGTCATCTGACGGTAACTCTAATAATTCGAAAGCTGCCAAAAGTTCTCCAGCACGATCTGTTCCCCGTGTAATATCAAACCATTCAAGCGCAGCTGGAAACCTTGGTTTTGCATATTGCTCATATCTTAGCTTAACTTGTGGTTTAGCAATTGCTCGGCCAATAAATTCAGATTTTCCGACTTTGTCTTGATCAAAGATTTCGATGATTATTGCCGGTGGATCTTTTGAATCTCTTCCCCGTCACCATATACTAATATCTCTTCGAATATTAAAAGTTCATCCCAGGTGGGACTTAGGGTCTCATCAATTACTTGAGTGGTTTTACTAAATTCACCAGCGATTATCCTCGCGAACGGATCGGATAACCCGGAAGCATCGGAGCCGATTAATGAACGAGCTTGGTAGATATTTGCGCGAAGTTGAAAGATCTATTGAGCAATTTTAAGTTTTAAGAAGTTTATTTTAAGGTTAGTTTTTGGTGAAATGACTTACGTGTTTTTCATTGTAATGCACGATGCATGGCGGAAGCGCCCTCGGGCGTTCAGCATTTCGGAGTTCCTGGGATAACTCGTAGCCTTTGGGAATTCCGTCGACGAAGTACTTCTTATGCTTGAGTACTCCCATCCACAAGTAGATCTCAAGTTTGGCTTGGATTGCCCAGCCGCTTGGTCCTTGACCTTTTTTGCCAGGTAACTAACATAACACATTTTAAAGTAAAATATTTTAAATTTTTTGAGAAATACACTTTATAATAGTTAAATTGTTTGTTTGTTACTCGTTCACGTATGAACCCCTGAACCAATTTTGATAAATTTTGGTATAGAAGTAATTTTGACCTTGGAAAATAAAATAGACTACTTTTTGTTGCAAAAATATAACATACAGGGTGTTAAATAAGTGATAAAAGTTGATATTTAGAAGAAAACATAGTTATAGTTATATAATTCGAACCCAGATGGCGCAAAAGCGTATTATTAACATTTTTCTTTTTTTAAATTGAAATTTAGAGAAGTTATCACCGAATTGAGCCAATACTACTCCCAAAAAACAAATTTTCATATTTTTTACCTGTAAAAACATCGTTTGAACTTTTCCGCAATCCCGCCCACTTTCCTCATCCACAATCGAGTAGATAATATCCCGAGCCTGGATGCGATGATAAGCTTGTCGTTTTCCCCCGCTGATGATCCACAGAAACACATCCGGTAACGCATGTTGCGGCTATTGATAAAATTTAATATTAATTTATAACCGAAACTTACTAATACTGCTTCTTACATCATCAACTAAAAGTTTCGTCTTTGCCAGATACGTAAGTGACGTTTTGTATCTCTCCTTGAATGAGCTTTTTGTGACCAAAGCGCGCAGATTTCTCGAGCCGGTAGCAATTTGTTCCTAAGTCATTAAAATTTCAGCATTGCATTAAAGTTTTCACATTAAATCAAAGTTAAGCTTAATGTTAATATTAAAAGCTACCATTTCACGCTGGCATAGTTTTAAGTGCTCCTTGTCCAGTTTTGTTTTCCCTGTGCCCGGCCCGCTCGTAGACGCTTTGGAAATCGTAACATATTTGTTACAACCTGCTGATAACTCATCCAAGACTTGTTTCAGGCGTTGTTCCATTTCGGAGTTATCAGCGTCCATTAATGCATGAACTTCATTCAAACCTTCCTCCTAAATTTTATTATTTTGTTTTATTTTATTGAAATTTTTTGATTTATTGTTTCTTACGAGTTTTTCAGCGATTTTTCCGATTATATTTGAATTGTACATCCGGCGTCGATAGTCAGGCCAAACGCTCCGCACGTGCATGCACGGTTTGTTGTCCCAGTAGGGCATAAAGTAGTGCAGTTTGTCGTGTGTCATCGGCTTGGTCGGGGATGTTGTACTCAACCAACTTCCGCTATCCACCGACACGCTTTCTACACATAAAACAAACCACAAAAAAAAAAAAACATGGCGACTTTACCATCCATAAAAACCTAACCAATAAACGTCACCCCACAAAAAACGCTTACCCAATTCATCACTGTCCTCCTCATTGCCCCAACTCTCCATCTTCGCCGACTGATTATGCCCGTCTATCGCGTTACCAGCATTACCAATACTGATCTCGAAGTAGACCGGCTTGTCCCCCAGACGTTTCTCCAACATACTCGCATCTAGAATACTCGTAAAGAGGAAAAACTCTTCATTCTTCCCATAGGACGCCTCGTTAATTGGAACGGTCGGCTCCAACTCCACCTCGGTGGGCACAAAGTCAACTTGATCGGTGATTTCCGTCCGGATGGCAATTAGTACACGTGCGCGATAAGATACACCTTCACCCAGGCCGCTGTTGAGCGAACTAAGTTCATCGATAAGGGAATAGTCACGTGTGGAGCCGTAGAGATGGATGAATGCCGGGCCGTAGGTGGGTAGGAAGCCTGAAAGCACAAGGGTTGAAGATGCGATCACTCCAGACGCCAGCGCGAACGACGCTAACCTCCGCCTCACCCTTTTCGCCGTCGTTCGCGATCTGTTTCAGATCTATAAAGTGCGTTCCGATCACCGTGGGCTTCACTGGATCGTTGTCCCGGAGCTGAATTTTGATGCGTTGACATAGAGGTGGGAACATTTCGGTGAAGACCAATTGTTCGTTCCATACAGGTGCGTAGCTATGTTTTTTCACGCTAGTTTTACCCTAAATTGAGGTTAGTTTAAGTGAGGTTAACGGTAAATGTATGTTGGGTTGCCTACCATAAGTCCAGCAAAGGAGACTTGTACGTATGGATCGACTAAATCATTCACTTCGCCTGTGAAAGCTTTCTTAACATTGGCCATGATAGAAGAATTCATTTTCGGGAGGCCATCGGCGCGATAAATCTTAACAATGTATCGGGCTCTTTGTCTGTCGATAGGCACTCCATCAGGGAGAAGTAGATTACTGCGAAATTAATCATAAAAATAGATTAATTTATGTTTTTTTTTGCGAAAAAAACTTTTCTTACGCTTCAATGTCATCTTCGTCTTTTTCGCTCTTCGGAGGCACTTTAACACTGTCGCCTTTGCCAATGACACTGATGTCACACTTTAGATAACCTTTCGGTCCACCAGCAATGTCATCCGGGTCAGTAAGCAGCGCCCACTTGTGGTAGAACTGGTGATCTATCCCGAAAACGCAAATTTTACATCAGGAAACGCAGAAAATGAAAAACTTTCAAAGTGCAATTTATTAGCTACACAGATTGAAAGGCATGCTTGGCTGTGTGTGAAAAGTGGCGGTGAGTGAGATTCAATTAGCAGCAGTGTGCTTATCGATTGCCAATTTGCATGCAAATATGTTGCCGGAATGATGATGAGTGCGAAAATACGAATCAAGTTTATTTATTTTTTCATTACGATTGATATAAACACACGCCGTGCGCATGAAAACCAAGTTTTCGTGCGTCGACTGCGTCATTTCCTGCTGCTTGCTGTTCACTTTTCCAGTCTTACATGAATAGCGCAATTTTGAGGTTAGTATTTCATATATTTTGACAGTAACACAGTGATTACTGTCAAAATCCGTGTATCGAACATCGAATATGACATCGAATGACATTGAAATGACACTGAGATGCGGTGTGTATTGTGTTGCGTACCTGGCTGCGCCCAGACAGTCGCCACGTCTAACTTAAAGCAGCCCAACAATTTATTGGCCCTGAGTACGCTGCGCGACTGCAGCACCTGCGTTGCGGAACAAAAGAAACACACCACAGATTGGCAGCAAGAGCAAGAGCAGGAAATTTGTGTACACCTGTGATGGATGCGGCGCGCATTGATGCGATACAGAGTGATACAATAATAACACAAGTCATTGAACACAAGAATTCGAGAATAAGCGCTACATAATCACAATCACAGAGTGTATGTGGTTCAAGCCAGTTACGAAGAATACTTGATACTCGGACAATGCAATACACAAGTTTCAATTGTTTTGGAGAGTTTTGAGAGTTGCCTACGTTCTGGTTCTGAAAGGGGTGATATTGATCGTATCGTGTTGTGTGTGTGTGAAGTGCGGGTTTGATGGATGTATGAACATCCGTTTATTCTGTGCGAGATGAGCTTTTTTTGCTATTACGCTAATTTGCGCAGACTCTGTCAACAAACAAGCTCGTTAATCACGGAAATGACTTCTATTGACAACAATTTGCATTCAAAGCGACTCGCTGCGCTCGAAAAAAAACTAATATATTTTGTTTGAGTGCTTGGCATTTTTTATTCTTGAAGTTGCATGAAATGCGCCGGGAAAAATCGAGTGTTTTGCATTGATCTCACGTCGCTGACTGTTTCCATGTTTGCGTTATCGCGCATTGCGGTTGTGTTTGTTTGCGGCGGACAAACCCGCGCGCGCGATAAAATAGGTTAGAAATTTCACGCTGACGAATTTCCATTTTATTCTTGCACTGTTGTATTTCGCGCTCCAGTGAAAATCTCACCAGCTGCAACGGTAATGAAAATTCCTTCCTCTGCCCACACGAGGATCATAACCTCATTTGGTGGCTGTTGGTGGTGTTTTGCGTGTGTTGTTTAGTGCGTGTTTTATGATTATATGTGTGGTTCTGTGTTGAAGAGAGGTAAAAGTATAAAATGTTTGAGCTTTTATTAGTACCCTGCGCATCATAGACGGTCTTCACGTCTATCTTGAACGAACCAACCAGCGTGCCGGAACGCAATAGTTTTCTAGAATGCATAACCTAGAACATACGCCAATCATTTGCTTTTCGTCGGTTTTTGTATCGCGAAAGCGGAGGGAATCCGAGACACAATGCGAGACAATGCAAGCTGGTCGCTGACAATAACACTAACGATAACAATTGAAGTAGCGCAATGGTGAAGTAAAGTGGAAAACATACCTAACAAAGAGATAATTGAATAGAGGAAGATAAAAGTATAAAACTAGGTTTTTAAGGGAGAAACCACGGATAAAAGAGTAAAAATGGCTGAAATGTTGAAAAAATCAATGATTTACAAAGTATTTTAAACTAAAAAGTAGCTTTTAATGAATTTTGAGGAAAATTAAGTTTAATTACTTATAATTCATAGAATTAAACTTTAATCGGCTAAATATTGTCATTTCTGGTTGCATAATTTAATACTGAATCAAATAATTAAAAAAATCATTGTTCTAACTTGTCTAGTTTTTGAGTTATGAATAAATAAATAAACTACTATTAAATTTTCACCTACTACACCATTAATAAAACAGTATGTTTGGTTGCCTATCATAAAATATTCATCTAACGATCAATTTGCATCATTTCGTAATAATTCCACCACGTCTCTTATCTAAGAAGTGTCTTAGAACTAGAAACTAAAATGATCACCGCTCGTAAATTTCCACGACGCTAGAAATCGTAAAAGTTACACTACGCTTCGAATACTCACCGATAACGTGATTATCTTGTCGAATAACATTATTGCAGGCATGTGGAAGTCGAAGACAAAGTACTGCAACACGAACAAAACCAAAAACCCACCGTTACAAATCTCCTCTTTATTTCCACCAAGCGACATCAACCGACAGGAAATAAAAACGGGGAGCAAACTTCCGTGGACGCAAGTCAATAAATAATTGTGTGTTCGATTGTGGTTAGGTTGAATGAGGTCAAGGCATGATAGAAATGTTTTACGAGATGTGAGGTTATATGTGATTGGACATACTTCGTTGTAGTACGGACAATTCGTGCTTTCCTTGACGCTGGTGTATTTGCGTTGGTCGCCGACTTGGATGCACACCACTGGATCCATGTTGAGTCCTGCGAGTTGACGCGCCTCAATGATGGTTAAGCAGACTTGGAAGTCTTGGGCTTTGAGGACGGACTGCACGCGTGATTTCAAATCGGTTTTTATTCTATAACGAAAGAAAAGAAGTTTTTTTTTAATTTTATTGTATTTTTAGGTTATGGGAATTAATTTTTATTACCTTGTTGTTTTGCGACCTCGTTCAGCGATGGAAACGGAAACTTGGCTATCGGCGTTGGAGTCTAGTGATGTTTGGCTGCAGGCGCGAGACATTGGAGTTGATTCGCATTCGGATTGTCGTGAATTTCTGCCGGATTCGGGCAGGAGAGCATTTTCTTCGTCGTCGGTTGTGTTGGTATCTTTTGGGGGGCGTTGTTTGCCTTTGAAAGTAAGTTATAAATGTTTGAGGTTTTTTTTTTGAGGTAATAACCATTGAACTTAACATAATCTATAAAATTAAATATAAAATGTATAGATAGCGTTGGTTTAATTTTTTTTGTTTTATTAACCAAAACTTTAATTTTTTTATGATTTTTAACGATTTATGAGCTTAATAAATCATTTATGAGGTTATAACATCTAAAATTGAATATAAATATCATTGATGTCGCTACTTAAATTCATTTTTTGTTTTCTGTCTTGTTTATTAACTGAAAATTATTATTTTTTCTTAATTTTTTGCATTTTTAGATAAATAAATCATTTTTTGAGGTTATAACATCCTAACCACACATAACCTAACATAACCTATAAAATTAAACATTAAAATCATAACATTTTCTTCTTTCTTTTTTATTTCAATTTTTTACTTTTTTCGACTCGAATAAATTATTTTTTCATCTTTTGATAAAAAATATAAAAACAAAAGATGTCAAATATCAAATTAAATTAAAAACATTTCGTCCTCCCCAAATAATCAACCGCCACACGAAAAATTAATTTCAAGTGCCCGAAAATGTATATATTTTCATAGGACTATCGATAACAATAAACTTGTTGGAGTGGTTTGTAGACTAACAGCATAACAGTATGGAAACATGCAGGTTGTTAATTATTTAGGTGTATTTGGGTCACGCGCGTTGCGCACGTAGTATACGTGCCACCCCTCCCAATTGGGGCAGGCGTAAAGCATCGAGGACCTTTCCTGCGTGCTGCGTAAACAAAGGACTGCTTGTTGCTTTTTCCTTCTGCATACTCGCAACATACGCAACATGCGAGCATAAAACTTTCTATAAGATAAATATTTAGTAGGGTAAGACACCCGCTTAAAATGCACCCGCTCTAAAATCCACACCAAACAGATTCTGCAAATTTTAATTGCAAATATTAATTATTGTTTGTTAATAAATATCTATGGTGTTATGATGTTATGATATGCAAGTTGTGAGAAAATATGAATTTTATTTTCGTGACAATAAAATCCGGGATGAAATATTTTAGTTTATATTTTTGAAATATTAGAGTGCGCGCTGGGAAAACTTTAGAAATTATGAGGGGTGGTTATATGACGTTTCACGAATCATGATTTTACATATTTTTCATATTTCTAGTGTGCAATCTGACAACTTGTGGAGAATTTGCATAAAAATGTGCAATTTACGATGCAAATAAAATTTACGCTCGTTTGTAAATTTCAAAGGCCTTGATTTTCTTAAAGTGTTATATAATCAGCTATATTTACAAAAAATCTTCTATATAAACATTAATTCAGGAATATTATATGTGTTTATCGCTGTTAATCATAATAAAGTAAAATGAATTCTATTTAATTTAATGCTGAAGTTTTTATATAAAGAATATAACTAAATATAAAAATGTAAACATTTACAGAAAAGTTGCTTATGCGTAATTTATATAAACGTGCATTTATTTTGCGTGGAAAAGTTATATAAAAGATGGTATTAAAATAAAATTTGCGTTTTTGTAAAGTTTGAAATACAAAAATTGCAAAAAATTGTCATTTCTGCGTTTTTGCAAAAATAATTTAAAAAATATAATTTTTTGCCAAAATTTGATTATTAGTGAATATCTTGTATATTTAGTAAAGTAACGAGGTTTTGAAACAAAAAATAAATCAGTTATATTGATTTAAACCTAAAGAAACTTTTATGAAATAAATCTATTAATTTTTTTTCTATTTTGTTAAATTGCAGCTAATTGTGACTAATTTTTTAAAATAATTTTAAGTTAATCTGATAGTATTAACTCATATCTATAGATAGAAACCAAAATGGTTTTTCTATCTTTTATAGTTTTCTAGATATAATTACTTTTTTCTATGTCCAACTTTAAAGCGTCACTTTTTCCATGGTTTTAGACTGAAGCAGTAGTACTTTAAACACGAACGGTCAAGGCCGTGACTAAAGTACTTAATTTTAAAGTACCTATTATTTGCTATATTTCAATTGCGATGAAATTAATTAAAATTTAAGATTCAACGGTATTTTAATCAACTTCCTGTGAGTTTACACAACTGAGTTATTCTTCAACATTCTAACACAAAATTTCTTTGTATTGTTAACTAAATATTGTTTGCGCGAGTAATTTGCTTAATTGAATTTCGACATCTTCGCCTACTTGTCTTTCTCTGCTTCCACCACGTATACACATTCCTAACACTAATTAAAAGACATTATAGTTTCCATTTCCAAAATTTCCTTTGAAGCTAATCAGGGCTGGTTTCATTCCGAATTGTTTGCATAACTTTACACGCTTGCTTTCGCACCGAATTTGAATAAATTTGCATGCGAATAGCAAAATATGCTAAATCAATACCATCAATATTCATTCCCGAAAATTACCCCAAAATAAATAGCGAATATATTGGGGTATCGTGACTATTGGAAACAATAGTGGTATAATAGCGTACTGTTGGCAGTATTTTAAATTAAATTTGTGAACATGCATGGCACTTACCTAATCTAATTAAATTCCGCACCGTTTTAAACGTGCTGCTTTTTTTCCGCTCTGGTTTCTCGAGAGTTGCGGCTTTCTCCGACGTGCTGCGTCGCTTCCGGTCATGGCTTCCGGACGCGGTCTCCTGCTGACGTTGACTTTGATCAGCTAGCGTGCGCTCCAGGTTGGCGATGTTCTGTTCAATGTTGATGAGCATTTGTTGATCGTCCTCGAACATGCCGTATGCTTGGCTGCCGGCGAAGGACAGGCTGGCTTCATCCGGGGCGGTGTATAACAAGTCGAAGTGGATGTTAACCTGGAAATTAATGATAAAGATAATTGGTAGTTACAAGTTGCCGAGTAAACACAGGAGGAAAATGGAGATTAAAATGATTTAAGTTGGAATTTTATGGTTTTGATAGAAAAAAATCAGTTTTTTTCGTTAATTTTCTTAAAATTTGTAAATTTACGAAAAAAATCTTTGAAATTTACAAGATCTTCATTAATTTGTAAAAATTTAATTTTAGATTGTTTTTATTGCAGTTATTTTGCATGATTACATTAATTTTTATTTGAATTTTTAGGTTATAATCTTAAATTTCTTGAAATTTTACAATTTTAGACTAAAATAAGAAAAATCCATCAAAATTTTAAGTAAAAACGTCAATTTAATTAAAATTGCAGTGGAAATGTAGGAGAAAACTGTAATTTTGCAAGATTATAACAGAAAAAGTTTAAAATTTTAGTTGAAAAGTTACTTTTCTGCTTAAATTTCATAAAATTCCTAAAATTATTAAAAAAATTGCACAAAATATTTATCCATTAATATTATTACCAATAGTAAATTCATTGTATTCCATATTATTCAAGTTTCCAATGTGTGAAAAGCTTAGAATTTAATTAATTCTGTCACGCGACGCCATTTGACATTCGCCATGCGCCCATTCGTCACACGACTCGAGGCGCGCTTACGCACTTAATCTAAGAACTTGAAACAGCCTTCTAAAAGTACCCAGCACACACAAACACAGCAATAAGCGATGGCGAAACAGGAGCGAAACAAAACGACCGGAAGTCACTAACAAACCGTCGGCCATTTGCAACCGCCACAACGAAACGCGAACGAAAATGAAAACGACCGGAAGCGAAAAAGCACAACCGACGGAAAATTGAAATTAACGATTCTTTATTGTAGCCACAAACAATTGCTACACAAATATAAAACATCCAAAAGCACAAAAATTAAATAAAAAATAAAACAATTTGAATATTAAATTTAATCAAAGAAAAACTTTTTATTTTTAATCTTTTAACTCATTGATAACAAAATAAATAAAAAATAAATAAAAATACGTACATAAATGAAAAAGAATATAAGGATAAGATCAGACGTAAAAAAGAAATGAAAGCTTAAATGTTTTCGATGAAAGAACCGAAACGTGACATGACTCACAAGATTAAGGGTTGAAAGAAGCGTCTGGAAGACGATGAGGGGATGAAATGGCTTGATGTGCTAGACGTGAGGATGAATTTGAATACGACGTCGGCGGGGACGCCACAAATGAGATGCGTAATTTGGTGACTGCGAGAGTAATTTCATCATTATCTGTATTTCGTGAATACATCAAAGAACCTTTTTTTTATAGATACGAATAAATACGAATTTCTTTTTATTCGAGTAGGGATGTAGGAATTATCAAGATCAGTATATTTTTACTGGATAAAGAGATTAATAACATCATTGGCTGCACGAGTAGGACGGTTATGTAGTCAATAAAAAAGCGTAACTGTTATTCACGATTTTATAAGGTGTTAAATATTCAATAAAAACGGCATAAATTTTCAGAATGCAAATATTTCTGCGGGAAATGGTTGTAATGTTGTAAAAGTTAACATAGAGTTGGAAAAATAATCTTAAAATATATAGAAATGTATATTATTTTATTTTATAAGTTGATTTTGTAGAAATGATTGCTTTGGTTGATGAAAATTTAAGTTGTTTGTAAAGTAGGTTTACGATCGAGATGTTTACGTGATAACGTCTTATTGGTGATATAAGTTTTTTTTTGTTGCATTTGTTGTAACACTTCACTTGCACTTCACATGTTGTTTCACTGTTAAACATTCAACGAAATCTTAACCGCACAAGAAAATCTCCATTCGTTTGTATGCCGCTAGAGTGAGAGAGACGGAAGATCGGTCCACTCACTCGAACGCTATGCCTGCCTCCGCTCGTGTGGATTCCGCGTGACAAGTTTCACGGAATGACTGGCAGCGCTCGAGATGAGACGGGAGATCCGTCCGTCTCTCTCTCGTTATAGCGATCGGCCTCGTGAGGCCTCGTGACACAAGTTTCTGAACATGTCACCCGACTAAAACTATTTTAAACACGCTATCACGTCAAAATACATTTTTCTACTTCCACTTATAAAACGCCAGTTTTTCCACTGTTTTTAGACAATAAAATTGCTACTTTATATACGGACGGCCATGCCGTGTGTAATATCCATTATCTACGAGTATTTTCTACGGAGCGGAGCTTGCGCCTGCGTATTTGCCTACGGAGCAGTACAAGATCGTAGAAAATGCCAATGCGACGCCTTTATTTAATAATTTTGTTTAAATCGTTTTTATTTTAATTTTTTATTATACATTTGCAAATTATAGGTGAAATTAGGACAGTACCCGTGCTAAAAATAAATATTTTGGGAAATACTATTAATATTTCTCTATTTAGGTTAAGTACAACCTAAAACTTTTCATTTTGCTTTATTTTGTAATAATTTAAGCACACTACACCTTGTTTCCTATAAATTTGGTTACATAATGCATTTTCAATGCAATCGTCATATAATCTTAACCTCAAACAATAAAACAAAGAATTTCCCTATATATTTGACTGCAGTTGCAGCTGCCGCTGCATTAGGTATATCCGCAACCACCGAATGAAATATTGCATTCCATGCTATTTCCGCATGCAATCCTGAGTTATCGCGTTATCGGTTTATCCGAGGCGATGCTATATGCACATTTTATTGCATCGGTCGCATACCGGAATTCCCATTATGACTCGCACTGTTTGTATTTGTACACGAATCGACGCACGTAAATGCACACGGAATAAATAAGAATATCTTCGACATACGGCTTTATTTCACGTGCCCAACAAAGCCCGGAAATTCCGGATCGTTTCACGTTTCACTAATATTGGTATAACTGGCCCACAAACTTGAAATTGCTGCGAGCGTTCCGGAGACGAACTAAATGGTAAATGGTAAATGGTAAATGCTTTACGGCTTTGAACGTAATCACAAAACATACAAAGTGTTGCAAATATAAAATAAAATGAAAAATTATATTTAATAATTTTTTTTCTGTGTTAAAGCACACTGTATATATTATTGGGAAGGTAGTGCTTGCGTGGAGCATGAAAACACATTGGCTGGATGCTGAAAGGGATGAAAAGTTGGCGTGGACTGGAATATAAAATCGACGTTTTATGAAACGTGATGAAAGTCAATTTCAACCACGCAACGTCGAACCGGCCACAACGAAAACGTCGGCGGGGCAAACTTAATTGGACTTTATATCCTTCATCGTGAGCGCGCACCGAATTTATTCCTAGTCACGGTGGGCTTGTTGCTTCTGACAGGTTGAAAACTTGCTAAATGATCTTTGTGAGGTTTTTCTATACACTAAATCAGAGTATAAGCCAATGAAAAGGTTGTTTTTTTATTAAAAAACACTGAAAAACAATGAAAATTAGTTGAAATTTGGTTATGACTACTTTTTTGACATTTGACAGTTAATTTCTAAATTTCAATTCTAAACATGTATGTTTTAAATTTAGATGAAAAAAGAGGAAAATTGTGGTTATGTTGCATTATTTGACATTTGACAGTTTATTTTAACTTGTTTTGATGTTTTACTACCAGGACAATACATTTCTAAACAAGTTTGCTTGGAATTTAAATGAGAAAATAGTAAAATTAATGTTATATCCATTTATTTGACATTTGACAACTAATTTGAACCTCTTTTAATGTTTTACTAATAGTAGAATATTTGTTTGAACAAACATATGTTGTATTTTGATGGTAACACACTAATACTTAGGTTATGTCCAACTATTTACCATTTGACAGTTAATTCTACTTTGTTTTAATGTTTGAAAATGAGTAAAATTGAGGTTATATCCAAATATTTACCATTTGACAATTAATTTCCCCTTGCTTTAATGTTTAACTAATAATACAATACTTGTCTATCCGAATATATTTTGCTTTGGAAATTTTAACAATCGATCGCCGCGTAGCGCACCAGCTTAATTGGAAAACTTTTTCCAGCACCGCTTGTCGCAACTGTCGATGTCGCATCAGCAGCGCCCTCTCTCCCTCCTTTATATTCCCTCTGTGCGCGCTTATTAGATTGTCCAATTAAACGGCAATCAAATAAAACGGGTCGCGCCGAACAAACAAACACATAAATTGCCCATCCGAGCGAATGGGCCATAAAATGGCGACGCTCTGACGTCATCATAACATTTCAATTTTAATTCTAATTTTAATTTTGAGTGCTTACTCACCGGAATAGGTCGGTTGCTGTCGTCCACCAGGCAGTCGTTGACAGAGACACGGGAATCGCGCACGACGCGCTGGAGGACCACACCGTAGGTGCCCAGAAGTTTATCGGCGAAGAGTCGACTGCGGACGAAGAGCTCGATCGTTAGCACCTCGACGCCGTCAACAGGTCGCGCAACAGGCCAGTCGTATCTCTGCGAACACATCGAAGCACAAAAAGTGTGTCAGCGAGTTCAATGGCGGCGCGGTTCGGTTTGGATGGATGCCAAAAGGGCAACAGGCGGTGTGCGAAGCCTGGAAACCACTTCACTGGGGTTGAAAGCAACAAGCTTGAAGAGCATCAAGTGTTTTTTTAAAAGATTTAAGAGCTTTAATAGAGCTTTGGGGTAAAAACTCAGTTTTTTGTGTTGAAAGCACTATATTTTTAGAGTAAACGTCGGTAAAGTAGATTTCTTTATGAAATAGAGGTTATAGGTCTTTTTAGACGTTTTAAGCATTTTTGGACTTTTACTTCTATTTTAAGCAGTTTTAATGTTGTATTTAAATAATATGACGTGTTTAATATAATTTTTTTAATTAATGATAAATTTTGTTTTAGATGTTCAACATTCTCATTTTAAGCTTTTTGAGGTCACTACAGCATGCGCCGCACAAAAACTGCTGAAATATTCAGTTTCGTCGTTGTGCTTTTGCTTTACATTTTACTGCGCGATGGTCGCTTATCGCAAGCTTCCATTTTCATGCATTAAATATTAGACTTAGGCAGCACACCATACATATTGACAAGTATATGTACAGGCACGTCTACAAAGTTACTCACAGACATCTCATACATTTTTAAAGATTATTCATAAATAAAAATAACAAAACAACAATAAAAAGAATAAGTGCTTAGAATTATTGAGTTTTTTAGTTTATGATCATTTCATTTGAATACGAGTATGTTCAAAATTAACTCTCGTTATATATATTTTAGTAAAATGAATTTTTTGTGGTTTTCGCAAACTTTTAGTCGAATTTCCCTAAACTGTATTTTGTTCCGCGTTTGTTTGAGTTTCCATTTTCATTCCTCAACCGTGCCATTTTCTAAAACATAACCTAACATAACCTTATCGCCGTGCATTGTATGTGTCCTGAGTGTATTGTGATTTTTTGCTTGCCTCACAAACAATTTCCAACTCTCTGCTTTATCTACTCGCGGCTATTAGGTGTTTTCGCTTTCCGTACCCCTGTACACACGTGTACACACGTGTCGTGGTTCGGGTCGAGGTATCGATCCCTTCCTCCCGCAGCTGTGTGGCCAAACGACATTCTAGCGTAGCGCGAAAAAATAAAAATAAATAAAAGACACAGGTAGATAAAAAGGCGAAAATTGTGAAAGCTTTGAGAGCGCGTTGAGCAAAAAAATGCACGTCGTGTTTTCGGTTTCGTTGACTTTAACGGAGGGTTTTTATTGTTTGAGTGGAGCAGTAAAAAAATACTTTACAAAAGAACTAAGTTAAATAAGATATTTGGTTGTGTTGTTGTTTTAAGGTATATTTGGTTGCCTATCACGACATCAATATTATCTATGACTTGATTTATATTGTAATATATATTATTTATAGTATTATCTTAAAAACATAACAATATTATTGTTACTCACCTCGTTTATGACGATCACTTCTTCACCAGTGTCTTCAAGAAGTTTAGTATGCGAAACTCCTGAAACAATAATAAATATCAGATGAATTTTGTCCTGGCAAGTAATTTCAAGTTTATAAAATGGCGAATGTCACAGTAAAAAGTTTCTTGGCATAATTTTCCACTATTTTACTTCTATTCAAGTAAAAACTGCATGTTATGCCATTATTTCCATTCATTTGCATAATTTTAATGTATGCAACTAGTCTATCATCATAATAGGTTGCATCCATGTTGCCACATTGCCACCGGACTTCTTAAAGTTTAATTTCTTTATTTTAAAAGAATAAATTACATTTTATAATAATTCATGACGTCTTGCATAAATAATTCCACCCTGCAGGCAATTAGAGTCTCGTTAGCTATCTGTTGTTGAAATTATCTGCCCGACCAACTCAAAGCTCTCAAACTACTCCAACAAAGCTCAATAAAGGTAAATCCGAGCAAGCCAGACAAGTCAGAAAAGGTTTGAGTCTCTCAGAGAGGTGGATCTACCCCAATTAATATTAATTGCCATCATGTGCGGCGTGTAGACCGTTTATTTACACAAGCACAAAAGAACAGACAATGCGGGAGCCAGCAGCAGGATGGCGATCTAATTAGGATGAAGAAATTGACAATAGACAATCGGAATTATTCAACATTGTCTTGTTTTTATTAAAACAAAGAAAATATCAAAATTTTTAAAGTTGTTAATAACACCGCAAGATGGCCATATGTTTTGGTTACATTTGATGCACACTGTGTTGCATACCGTGCAGATATTGCATTACATATTTTATAACCTAAAAGCATTTTAATGAGTCGATTTATAATGTTTACGATGATAAACCGTGCACATTTCACCATGCGGCGGCGGTGCAAGTTGTGGTATAATCAAATAAACATTTATATCATTTTATAAGTCTCAAGTGCATTAGTTTTCCGCTTCACGATACACACTCGCGATGGTAAGAATGTGTACAACGTCGTAAGACTATCTGTGTATCTTTCGGCGAGGAATATTCCGACGCAACTGCAATTCGTGTGACCCGTCGACCGAGGCCCGACCTCAAAACGTGAATTGTGAATGAGGATTCGAGAAGATTCTCGAAAGCATGTCGGGCGTGTGGGTGGTAATGGCATTGGTCGCGTTTGGGGAGCTTACGTCAGAAGCGTCAGCGAATTCACGACGCAAGGAAATGGTCCAGAAGGGTTGGAGGCACGTTTGCACGACGTTACCGCTCGGATTCTTGAAATTGTCGCCGAGTCAACTTACTGCGCACAGAGCTTACATGAGCTGCGACAAAACGAACAGGAAACTATATGTATGCTAAGACAGATTGAAGGCTGATTTCAGGAATTTCATAAACAGAATACTTTATGTTTTAGGTTCCAACTTTGATGTGTGTTAATGTGAAAAGGTTTTACTAGGCAACCAGACATACAGCAACTGAAACTTTCCGGGTATAACCACAAAAACTAAAGTTTACATCGTGGAAAACAGAGATTTATTGTTTTATACGGGTAATTATTATATTTGTAAAGTTTTAAACGTTAGGCAACCAAACATACATCTAACACTTGTGGTTTTTGTTAAATTTTAAGGTTTATGTTCTTTTTTTAGTGAAAAAAAAAAAGTAGGTTAAAATTAGCTGAAATATTGTGCGTAAAGCTTTTTACAACATAAAACCGGAAGCAATAGAGGTGAAACGAGTATATGCAGAATTGGCAAAGTGCGTTACGCTGTACGAACATAACCTGCTTCCTTCATTCTTCATCCACCTTCCGCAATCAACGTTTTCATACGCTTTCATACGCTCGCCTTTATGTTATGCGCTCTATGTAATCTTTGTTGCGCGATTTACTGCGCGGCGCCTCCACTAAGAATGAACTTGTGTCGGCTCGGTTGGCTTGATTATTCACTCAGTGCTATAATAAAGTTTTAAAATTAATTGCACCCCAGGTGGAATTATATTGCTTTGGATAATCAAAGGTGAAAATCGTGAATTCATATTCCAAGCAAGAAAAAAATTATTTTCAAAAAAATTTATTGTTCTTTGTTTGATTTTTTAAAAATTCCTGCGTTTATTTTTTTAGCGGCGAGGTTTTATGCGTTATGAGAGTTTTATATGTTTAACAATTGTTATGCATGAAAAAGCACTGGTTATGTCATCAGTAGAATGTGCGAGTAGGAAAATCGCATATAACGCCTTTTTTAGGGTGTGCGATGTGTGCGAAATCGACTGTAGCCTGACAAATCCGGATTTATGACTGGCTGCTGGTGCAAACATGCGTAAAATATTGAATGGATAAAATATAAAAATGTATACTATAGGGCACTGAATAACTTTAAGAGGAAAATTTCCTAAAGCAGAAAACTAGCATTCGTATTTGTTTGATAATATTTTTATTCAAAGCTAACTATAAAAGGATTTTATGGGCGAGGTCATAAAGTAAAAGTATTGGAAAACATGAATTATTATTGCACTAAACTTCAAAAATTATAAATCAATTTTTATGAGCATTATTAATGAGATGGTTTACTGCGTTGAATGAAATTTAAAAAAAAAAAAAGTTGGAAAAATGTGTGCTGAAACGGAATCCAAACATTAATTTCTTTTTAATTACTGTTTCTTGTCGTGCTGTTGTGGTTTGTCGTTTTTTTGAAATTTTCTGCTTGAATGTGCAATAATTATGTAAATTCTCGGTATTTACTGAAGTGTATTCGGAGAAAAATCCATCCGCAGGAAAAGCCTTTTAGTTGAAACGCTTTTCTTGTTTCTTTTTTATTTTCGCTCCGCATTTGTCTAGTCTTTTAATTAATGCTTTCAAATTTTACATCTTCTCTTTTTATTTCTTTTCTTTTTTTTGTATTTTTTGCCTTTTTGTGGTTTAGACAGAAAAAAAAAACTTAGCGGTTTTACATATAAATGGGATTAAGTTAACCTCAATTAATTGCAATTTGTTTATTTTAAAATATATATAAAGAGAAGATAAAAAACAAAAAAGTGACTTAAAATTAGTTCAATATTGAAGAGTCAAGTATTATTGGAACACTTAAGCATTAAAATGTAGTTATTAAAAGTCTAGGAATAAAAGCAAATTGCGTTAGTTACAGCATTTATAACTCAAGAACGGCTGGACAAATTTTGATCATCTATTATTTATTAGATTTGTCTTTGTTTGGAATAAGAGAATAAGCATTAAAATATAAATATTTATGTCAGAAAGAGCGTAAAATAAGAAAAAGAAAGTTGACATAGACATTTATAGATATATCTATATAATTGAATACCAGATGGCGCTAAAGTGTATTATTTGCAATTCTCATTCTTATAAAAGAAAAATACGAATTTTATTGATAGAATTGGCACATACTAAGTTAAACTAAAGAAAAATAACTCAGATTACGGCAAAATTCAATAACCACGTATTATTTGAATGCCTTAACATTAAATTATTTAATAATAAGCAAATATTCCACATTACAATATCCGCAAAACATAAATTTTCCAAAATTTAATATATTTAATACAAAATTAATTTTATGCCCCTCAGAAATTTCTCGTTACTTCTGGAGAGGTTTTAAATTACCTGCACCTTTCTCGTTTACCACTTGACATTGTAAACAAATTCTCCACGCGCGATTCGTTCCGCCAGAAATATTTGCCCCGGTTACTTCGGTCGATCAGTTTGAAGTTTTCGAGAGTACCGGAATAAAATTCAATTTTGATAAGCGCTGAGCAACTTTGAGCTCTAAACTCCCAGTCGGGCTGTCGCTAACAATTTGAAAGCAACCCCAAACACACACCACCCCCTTGAGCGATGGCGTCACTGCGAGACCGAGCCACGTGTCTGACGGTAACGAGAAATCGAATATTCAATACTTAGGTAGTCAATGTTTACGGTGGAGGAACAAGTTTCAAGACGCAAATAAAAATAAAGATGTGAATATAAATATTTATTATTTTTTATTATTTATTGTAAAATTAGTCTATTAACGAGCTTTGTAAGGCGTCATCACTGAATTTCGTCAAAAATTAAACAATAATTTAATTTAATTCACATAATTATAAGAGAATAGTACTAAAAATGTAGATTTTTATGAATTTGTTTGTTTGTTACGCTTTTATGCAAAAACTACTCAACGAATTTTGATAAATTATGTTATAGAGATATTTATGACTGGCAAAAATAAAATAGGATACTTTTTGTTGCAACAATTTAGCTCAAAATGTGTAAAATAATGGTTAAAGTTGATATGGAGGTTTAATCATAGTTATAGTTACATAATTCATACCGAGATGGCGCTGCAGTGCATTCTTAGCATTTTTATCTTCTCTAAATTAAAATTGATTATATTAGTTGCTATTTTAGTACATAATAAGTCAAGAAATCAAGAAAATAATTAGTTAAGTAACTTTAAATTAAAATCCATGCAAATTAAGTTGCATACAAAAGCAAGCATTACAATTAATCAAAATTTTATTTCCTTGTACAAATGTTGATGTGGTTTTGTGTAAACTTAAGTTCGCATATTGCATTACATTAAAACCGCAGCCGAAAAGTGCAAATTTCAATTAGGCGCTAGTGCATTAATTAGTGTTACCGCATTGTGCCAGCATCTAGTCGGTGAATTATCGTCTCTGCTCACGTCCACCGCACCAAATTGCAATGTCGCTAATTGTTAGTTACGCAGTTACGGCCTTGCAGCGAACTGGTCGCAAACAATCCATACGCCAACCGTTTGTCAACAATGCAAGTATAAAACAAGAAACATTAAACAAATTCAATAACGAGCGACGAGGAAGTTATTTTGTTCGGAGTAAATTATCCCTTTATATTATCTTAAAAGGGAGGAATTCTTTTGTTCGTTAATCATTGCTAATTGACGTTGTATACACAGAAACATCAAACAAAACGAATCAGTTTGGGTTCAAATCAGAGCTGATTGATGAAGGTATTCAGTGCAATTAGAAGGAAATACAGCTTTAATTATCTGCACATTCATCATTTATATTGGGATCAATCATTACTAT